CAACTGCTTTTACAATAGTTGCAGAAAAATAAATAAATAAAATAAAATTATTAGGAATATACCTAACCCAGGTGGCAAAAGACCTCTACAAGGAAAACTACAAAACACTGCTGAAAGATATCATAGATGATGCAAATGGAAATATATCCCATGCTCATGCATGGGTAGAATCAATATTGTGAAAATGACCACACTGCCAAAGAAATCTACAAATTCAATGTAATCCCCATCAACATACCAACATCATTCTTCAAATAATTAGAAAAAATAATTATAAAATTTATATGGAATCAAAGAAGAGCCTGCATAGCCAAAGCAAGAATAAGAAAAAAAAAAAAAGGATCTGAAGGCATCACACTACCTGATTTCAAACCATACTATAAGGCCATAGTCACCAAAACAGCATGCTACTGATATAAAAATAGGCACATAGTCCAATGGAATGGAATAGAGAATCCAGAAATAAACCCAAATAATTACAGCCAACTGATCTTTGACAAAGCAAACAAAAACATGAACTGGGGAAAGGACATCCTTTTCAACAAATGGTGCTGGGATAATTGGCCAGCCACAGGTAGTAGAATGAAAGTGGATCCTCTTCTTTCACCTTATACAAAAATCAATTCAAGATGGATTAAGGACCTAAATGTAAGACCCAAAACTATAAAAATTCTAAGATGCAAAGTTGGAAAAACCCTGCTAGACATTGGCTTAGGAAGGATTTCATGACAAAGAACTTAAAAGCAAATGCAATAAAAACAAAGATAAGTATCTGGGACCTAATTAAACTAAAGAGCTTTTGCACAGCAAAAGTAACAGTCAGCAGAGTGAACAGACAACCCACAGAATGGGATAAAAGTCTTCACAGTCTATACATCTAACAAAGGATTAATATAAAGAATCTACAACAAACTCAAACAAATCGGTAAATTTTAAAAAAGCCATCAAAAAGTGGGCTAAGGACATGAATAGACAATCCTCAAAAGAAGATATACAAATATCTAACAAACATGAAAAAATTCTCAACATCACTAATGATCAGGGAAATGCAAATCAAAGCCAAAATATGATACAACTTTACTCCTGCAAGATTGGCCATAATCAAAAAATTAAAAAGCAGTAGATGTTGGCATGGATGGCAGATGCGGTGAACAGGAAACACTTATACACTGCTTGTGGGAATGTCAAATAGTACAACCACTATGGAAAACAGTGTAGAGATCCCTTCAAGAACTAAAAGTAGAACTACCATTTGATCCAGCAATCTCACTATTGGGCATCTACCCCGAGGAAAAGAAGTCACTATATGAAAAAAAATACTTGCACATGCGTGTTTATAGCAGCACAATTCACAGTTATGAAATCGTGGAACCAATCCAAATGCCCATCAATCAATGAATGGATAAATAAACTGTGGTATATTTATATAATGGAATACTACTCAGCCAAAAAAGGAATAAATGAATGGCATTTTCAGCGACCTGAAAGAGATTGGAGACTATTATTCTAAGTGAAGTAACTCAGGAATGGAAAAGCAAACATTGTGTAGTTCTCACTGATATATGGAAGTTAAGTTTTGAGGATGCAAAGGCATAATAATGATACAATGGACTTTGGGGACTTGGGGGGAAGTGTGGGAGGTGGGTGAGGAATAAAATACTGCAAATATGGTGCAGTGTATTCTGCTCGAGTGATGGGCGCACCAAAATCTCACAAACCACCACTAAAGAATTTACTTACCCTTGTAACCAAATACCACCTGGACCCTAATAACTTATGGGGAAAAGAGCATTAGAGCAGAAGTGAAAGGAAGTAAAGTACACTTGGAAAAGGACCAAGTGGGTGACTTGAGGTATCAAGTGTGCAGTATGACCTTTGACTTAGGGTTCTTGTACATTGGCATGCTTTTTGGGGGATTTCATTCCTTCTATCCTGACTCTTACCTTGGAATGTGCTAACTGCATGCTCAGTGGCCTGCCAGCACTTGGGAGGCGCTGCACGTGTAGTGTGCTTACTGGACTTACACATATGAGGCGTTGTACTCATGCTCATTTGAAGCATTCTTCCCTTATCAGTTTGAATGTTCCTAGAAGGTCATATAGCAGTTAAACTCCACCATTTTGCTCTTAGTGCACATGCATGAGCCCACTTGTCCAAGTCCTGAGATCTTATCACCAGTTCTAGATGCTTCTGTGTATTCGGAGACTGCCTTTCCCTGCATCTGGCTGTGGCCAATTATTACTTTTTTTTTCAGGGGGTGGAAATGACTCCTTTGTCTTTATTAGAGAAACTTAGGAAGAAACCAGACCTGGCAACCAAGGGGTGAGGTACTGGCCAGGAAAGTGAAGTGGGGCTCAGGCCCTGGGGATTTCAAGTGCAGACTGATGGCCTGGGAGGGGCCAAGGACACCAGATCCTGGCGGCAACTGAGGAGGTACCCAAGGGCACTTTCAGGCACTGGGGCCGTCAGCTGGTTCTGTGGGGAGGGGTTGGGGGAGGGATGCAGGGTAGGTTGGGCTGGCCTGGAATCTCCCTGAGGCCACCCTGCCTTGTCTACCTAGATCACCCACTGGTCCTGATCCTGTTCATTGCCTTCCATGTCCACCTCATTGACCTCTCCATCATCAGGTGACTCATTGTAGTCATTCATCTCGTCCATGTCCTGCATGTCCTCATCATCCTCTGAGTCCTCTTCACTATCCTCATCCCCTTCATTATCTTCTTCTTCCTCATCATCATAGTGCTCTGATGCTGGCTTGCCAATAGGAACCAGGTTATTATCTTTCTCTGCAATGCTTTGGAGCCAGGCCTGATGCTGCTGTTCCTGCTGCTGCAGCTCTGTCTCTTCCACACAGGGTTGATCCAGATTGAACCACAGTGTCTCAGTCACATGAGGGAAGAGTGAGGGGAACAAAGTGGACATGGCTCCTAGACTGGGTTTGAGTCCTGGCTCCATCACTCACTAGCTCTTTGACCTTGGCTGAGTCACTTAACCTCTCTGGGCCTCAGTGTCTTCATCTCACGGGGAGGCAACCGCCGGTGGTGACCCAGAAGCGCTTCACCCAGCCTGAGCGGAAGATCCCACCAGAATCCAGGTCAACTATTACTTTAGAAAAACAGTGTAACGACCACCTGACCATCACCTAATAGTCACCTGACAGTCTTGGTTGGGGGTGGGGGACCTCTCCTGCCCTGCTCTTGTCTGACTAGCTACCTACTATAACAATATCTCCCTTTCCAAAATGGAAGTTATATTTGCAAAGAGATTTTAATTCATTTTAGGCATGTATTCTGCAGCTATTCCATAACAAACTTGATTGTTGTAAACTCTGGTTTTTATTATTAAGCAATTATTCTCACTCTCACTGTCTGCAGGAAACTGTGGTTCAGCCAGACTAGACTGGGCTTGGATGGACAGCTCTCTGGCCATGAATTAGCTGGATTTGGCCGTGGGCTGTAAGACTGCTCCTTGTTGAAGGGCAGTGATAATACCACCATCATGAGATATGCCTAGATTAGTTCATTCTCACACTGCTAATAAAGACATACCTGAGACTGGGTAATTTATAAAGGAAAGTGGTTTAATTGACTCACAGTCCAGCATGACTGGGTAGGCATCAGGAAATTTACAATCATGGTGGAAGGCGAAGGGGAAGCAAGGCACCGTCTTCACAAGGCAGCAAGAAGAAGTGCAAGCAGGGGAAATGCCAGATGCTTATAAAACCATCAAATCTCATGAGACTCACCCATTATCACAAGAACAGCATGGTGGAATCCACCCCCATGATTCAATTACCTCCACCTGGTCCCACCCTTGACACGTGGGGATTATGTGGATTACAATTCAAGGTTAGATTTGAGTGGGGACACAGAGCCAAACTATGTCAATGCCCAATCTCCAACAGACAAGAGAAAAGCCAAGCCACACAGGTCATGAAAGGTTTCTGCTCACATCATGCCTGCCAACTTCCTAGTGGACAAAGCAGATCACTAGTTCAAGACCAACATCAAAGGGTAGACTTAGTCTCTGCCTACAGTAAGGAGGAAATTGGGAGTAAAATGCTCAAGAATAATCTAGAATAGCACAAGCTATTTAAAAAAAGTTTTCAGATATTAAAAAGTTCAGTCCAATTTTAATCAAAACTTCAATATATCACACAATTTTAAGTTTTTCTTCTTCGTTACCTTAGACCTGATCTGCCTATAAGCCAGCAGAGAGAAAGCGAGGGTGCAGCCTTTTCTTTCTGTTGGGCTTACTCATTTCAGAAGTCCATAGAGCCGCTCATAAACATTCCAGTTCTCTTTTATAGACAGAGAAGATAAGATGACTTTGACACCTACTTAAAGTTAATTATAGTCATGTGACTTACTTTAGCCAATAAAGTGTGTAACTTCTGGGTGGGAGCTGTAATAAGAAGTTTATGCTTTACTGCATTCTCATTTTTTATTCCAGTATTCAAAACTGTAGTGCTTGATCAGCCTGGGGTTTTGTGGTACAATTAGCACAGCTCCTGAGATAGACATAAGTGAGAAAGAAGTCTTTGTTCTCAGTTACTGTACTGAGAACTAAGCTAAGAACGTGCGCGCGCACGTGTGTGTGTGTATGTGTGTGTGTGTGTGTGTAAGAGAGAGACCCATACATCACCTCTCTTCTTATCCTTACTGATTTTTCTTTAACTCTCCTTCTCTGTGTTGGGTCAGCTTTTTCTGACTTCTGTACCATATGTGAGGGTCAACAAGTAAAAACATGGTACAGTTTTAGGTAGCCAGCACAGTTGTAGTTCTGCCCTCCTCAAACTGTCAAATGCTGTAAGAACTGACCCTTCCCTTCTGTGTGTTTTAGGGGTTTGTTACCTCACAATGTCTGGGATTCCTCACTTTGCAGTATTTCCTGAGAAGGGCTGTGCTGAATCCTACTGATGGCTTATGACTTTGCCTCAATTCCTGCTTCTGGTGGGATGCCTCTAGCCAGTTTCTGCTGATATCTGCTTTCTCCTGCAGACAGGCCTTTTGAAAAGAGATCATTTCTGAGATGAACCCAGTCTGGTTGCTGCCCACAGTACCCTGAGGCACATGAGAAGCCTGCCCCTTGCCATGCTGGAGAGGCTCTTCCAGGTACAGCCTTCTTTTCTCTGCTACTGCTGGGCCAGTTCCAGCCAGCCTGTCCCCTGTAGGCAAGTAGCCAGTACCATGCCCTTCATGTCTTTAAGGCACAAGTCAATTTATCAGAAATTTCTCTTAGTTCACCCTGTCGAGCTACATGTAAGAAATGGGACACAGACCTCCTTCACATGCTTCCTTCTATCCTCATAGGGAGAGGAGAAAAATGCCTTTACCCATCCTTCTAGACTGACAACTTTCTTGAAAAATTTCACCATTCAATCTGCTTAATGAATGTATTAGTCCATTTTCATGCTGCTGTAAAGAATGGCCTGAGACTGGGTCATTTATAAAGAAAAAAGGTTAAATTGATTCACATGTTTAGTATGGCTGGGGAGGCCTTGGGATACTTACAATCATGGCAGAAGGCAAAGGGCACCTTCTTCACAAGTCAGCAGGAAGGAGATGTACTGAGCGAAGGTGGAAAAGCCCCTTACAAAACCATCAGATCTCTTGAGAACTCACTATCATGAGAACGGCATGGGGGAAACTGCCCCCATGATTGAATGACCTCCACCTGGTCTCTCCCTGGGATTATGGGGATTACAATCCAAGATGAGATTTGGGTGGGCACATAAAGCCTAACCGTATCAATGAATCTCCAGTTTTGCTGGTAGACCTACAGATTGGTGGAGAGTCTTGGGCTAAAGGTCTCAGGACTTGCTTTGCCTGTCTCTTAGCAGGTCTAGCAGAAATGGACTTAGTCCTCTTCTGTAAAATATAAGGGCAATCCATGCCCATTGTCCCAAACCTGGGACATTTTGGGATCTCAGTGGAGACTATGGAGACAAATATATTCTATTTTGTAGAAGTTTAAGAGATTGCCACATGTTCCAGGAGAAGTGAGTAGTTTGGTGTGACCAGAATAAATGTTTTCCTGTGCTAATGATGGGCAGACTGGCTGGGATCAGATGATAAAAGCCCATGTAGTTCTATTTTTCATGATGACTAGACTCATGCCTTTTATTCCATCTTGCTCTTAACTTGTGGTTCCCCATCCAACTCTGACTCTACCCCTGTTCCTGCTACACCATTGCTTTTTTTAAATCATGTGTAGTAGATTGAATAGTTCTATGTCCACTCAGAACGTATGAATATGACATTATTTGGAAACAGCATTTCTAGGCATAATCAAATTAAGATGAGGTCATACTAGATGACGGTGAGTCTTAAATCTAATGACTGGTATCCTTATAAGAGACTGAGAGGACATTTAGAGCTGCAGAGAACACCATTTGAAGACAGAGGCAGAGACTGGACAGATGCACTCACAAGCCAATGATCACTAGGAATGGCCAAAGCCACCAGAAACTGGGAGATGCGAGGAAGAATCCTTCCCTAGAAGCTCTGGAGGGACTATGGCCCTGCTGACAGCTGGGTTTTGGACTTCTGGCCTCAAGAACTGTGTGCAAATGAATTTCTGGTTTTTTTTTTTTGTTGTTGTTTGTTTGTTTGTTTGTTTTAGACAGAGTTTCGCTGTTGTTACCCAGGCTGGAGTGCAATGGCGTGATCTCCGCTCACCGCAACCTCTACCTCCTGGGCTCAAGCAAGTCTCCTGCCTCAACCTCCCGACTAGCTGGGACTACAGGTGCGCGCCACCATGCCCAGCTAATTTTTGTATTTTTAGTACAGACAGTGTTTCACCTTGTTGGCCAGGATGGTCTCAATCTCTTGACCTCGTGATCCACCTGCCTCAGCCTCCCAAAGTGCTGGGATTATTGGCGTGAGTCACCGCACCTGGCCATTTCTGTTGTTTTAAGTCGCCAATTTTGTGGTAATTTATTTCAGTAGCCCTAGGAAACTAACACACCACTACCTACTATTTCTGTACCCGTTTTTTGCTCTAACAAGAATACAGGTCCCACAGATGTCAGGAATCTCAGTCTTATTTCTCTTTGGATTTTCCTTTGCAGAGTGCTTTGACACAGAGACATTTATTATAGATTTGCTGCAATGAAGGCATTGATAATTAGCTTTAATTTGAAATCACTTCAGAGCAAATTGGAAATTTATAATAAACACAGAAGTGTGAATGGAAGAAATGAATAATTATATGCTATTTACCTACTACTATTGTTTCTGCCACATAATAGATCCCCTCTCCCATTAACTTCAAGTTCTCACTCAATTATTTGGGTCAGTTCATATTCTTTAGAAACAGCCTGCATCTTTATTCAACCCATTTAAGCTTCATCTCATGGAGTGAACTGATTAAACAAAAACTAAGTAAAATAAAAACAATTCCAAAACTGCAAGTAAACAGGAAATTATTAAAAAATTACTTGGATAATGGATATTCAGAAGAATGTAATTATATTTTAATTTATTGGTAGAGAACTAATTGTTCAATTATTAGAATACACAAAAGGAAAGATAACGTGGGTCTTGTTTTATGAAGTATTGTGTGTGTGTGTGTGTGTGAGTGTGTGTGTGTGTGTGTGTGTGTGTGTGTGTTTGAATTTCTCAGGGCAGAGTTCTGTGACTAAGACCTTTATTTTATTGCATTTTTACCTTGACCATTTATTTTTAAAATATCTCTCTGTTACTTAGGCTGAAAAAAGCTTTTGGAGATAAACTATCATACAATAAAAAGAATCTTATTCAACATATAAAGTGGTATTAATTTAAGATGAAGAAAGTGAGATTAATTTATTGAAGCAACTTAAATGTGGGAATGCAAAACAAGGAATTAACTCTATCAGTTTTGTCCATTGTTCAAATTGGATTATATATGTGATTGCATATTAAAAAAAAGAAGTGAAAGAAAATATTTCTGACTTTTATTAGAAATTTTACGGTCTCACGTTAAACGTTTTGCATGGAACTTTCTCTTCAGTGGGGATTGCAATTGTCACTTCTAAATTATTGCAAACTCCACTTTGGTGGGTCTCAGATTAATGAGGACTGACTGTGTCCTCATTAATATGACTTCCCACAAAATGGGAAGGTCATATATGGACGGTGCTTTCTTGTTTCTTTCCTAATAAGTCATTCCCAGATGGTGAATTACACCCCAGAGACTGAAGTTTTTCAAGTTTGATAATTTTTTCCATCTTACTTCCTGCTGATCGATATGGCTACCAAAAGCAGCTTTCTGCAATGAATACAATTTAGCTAATGAGGAAATAGGCCACACTTACCTTTGAATTATGAATCCTGTGCTGAGAAAGAGGCTTCTCCATATGTCACTTTCATTGGAACAACTGAAAGGAGGATTCATATTATTATTTCATTTTAACCAGAATGGCTGAAGTTGTTGCCTTCCATATTGGTGGCATTTTGTGTGGATGAGTAAATAATCTTTGAAAGTGGAAACTTCCTGACAATAAAATGTTACTGGCCAGTGGCAGTCAGGAAGGGAAGGTCTGGTTCAGTCTCTTTTTAAAAATATTTTTGTTTCTGTTTTTTTTGATTGACTGTGCGCCAAATGTTTGATCTTTAGATGTGACAAAGATTCTCTACTTGACCAAATGCTAGCCAGTTTCCTGTGTGCCATCTTTTCAACTAGACCTCAACTTTAACCTATAAAAATATGGACAGACACTAACATAGTTTTGAATAGCTCAGTCATATCCACGGGATGATTATAACCCCCTTTAAAGTGCCTGCCTGAGAAAACTTAAGGCTGCCAGAAGAATGTACTGCTTGTTCCAGCTAACATGTGAAGAGGGGCCCCTGACAACCAGTCTCTGTGAGAGTCTAGACGCCTAAATTCAGTAAGCACCAGCTATCAAACCTAAATGGGTGTTGCATGGGCCAACCCCCACTACCTGGTCTTTGTAATTTTTCACTTCTCTGGCTCAACTGAGCTCGGCTCACCCATCTCCCTACACCTTGATTCTCCCTTTACAACATCTAGTTGCCTATGTACAAATCAAAGTTGAGTTCAGTCCATGATGAATCCTTTTCCTAGTACAGTAGTTATTCTGGATTAAAATCCATCTTCCCCACTTTGGTGTCTGGCTTTGTTTATCTTTGACAGAGGTCATGATTATTTTATATATATAATAGGAAAGGTTGGTAATTACCAAAGTCTCCATCAGGTCCGGTATCTTTTGTTTCAATAATGTGATGGTTACTTCTTGACTGGGCTAAGAAATGTTCAGATGGCTGGTAATACATGATATCTTGGTGTGTCTGTGAAGGTCTTTCCACAAGAGATTAGCATTTGAATCAGTGGACCCAGTAAAAAATATTTGCCCTCACTAATGTGAGTAGGCATCCTCCAATCTGTTGAGGGCTCAGACAGAACAGAAAGGTGGAGGAAGGCTGAATTCTCTTTTTATGCCTAAGCTGGGACATTCATTTTCTCCTGTCTTTGGACACCAGAGCTCCTGGTTCTCAGGACTTTGGATTTGGACCAAGACCAGGATTTGCAACATTGGCTCTCAGGACAATGGACTTGGATTGAATTAAACCACCAGCTTTCCTGGGTCTCCAGATTACAGACAAAAGATGATGGGACCTATTAGCCTCTGTAATCCCACGAGCCAACATCTCATAACAAGTCTCCTGCTCTCTCTTTCTCCCACTGATTCTTTTTTTTCTCTCCAGGGAATCCTGACTAATACAAATATAACAATTGCCAGAGGGGTACTCTGGAAAATAATGGTCAGGCCTCTGTGGAATTTGATGCCTATTATCTGGTCCCTGAAACTTCCCCTACCTACTTAGCTATTCACCCCATTGAATGGCTTTCTTGCACCACCTCAATTTCTCCAAGGTCTTAGGAGGCAGAAAACAGAAACCTTTGACAAAGGTCAATGACAGAATGAAACACTAGCTTTATGGGTGAATTCTTTTTGAAAGTCAGATTATGTGGAGGAGTTTATTTCTTAACTCTCCAGAAGAAAAATCAGTATACACAGGTGTATTAGTCCATTTTCACACTGCTGATAAAGTCATACTCGAGACTGGGCAATTAACAAAAGAAAGAGATTTAGTGGACTCACTGTTCCATGTGGCTGGGGAGGCCTCACAATCATGGCGGGAGATGAAAGGCACATCTCACATGGTGGCAGACAAGAGGAGAGGAGCTTGTGCAGGAAAACTCCCCTTTTAAAACTGTCAGATCTTGTGAGAGTCATCTGGTATCATGAGAACAGCTCAGGAAAGCCCTGCCCTGATAATTCAATTACCTTCCACTTGGTGCCTCTCAGGACATGTGGGAATTGTGGGAGTTATAATGCAAGATGAGATTTAGGTGGGGCCACAGTCAAACCATATCAACAGGGAGCTCCTATTTTACTGATATGCTAGGAAGCCGTAGAGATATCCCTTGTGTAGCTCAGGTTTTCTCAAATCACATCAGCCTCAAAGTTAAAACAAAAACAAAATATATTTAACTAGATGACATTCTCTGTTGGTGGGGTTTTGGAGAACAAGCATCCTCATATATTGCTGGTTTAAATTCAAAATTGTGCAATACCTATAGAGGGAAAGTTGGCATTATTATTTTAAAAATCCATGCATATTCATTCTTTGTCCTGACATACTTCTAAGTAAATATTCCAAAGGTAAATTGACAAAAAAAACCCCACAAAATCTAAAAGAAGTACACACATTGTTGTGCATTATAGCAGGATTTAAAGTAACATAGGAGAGGAGGAGTCAACAACTGGCATGGCTAATTGACCAACTGGGCAAAAGGCATCAAAGCTACAGTTCACATTAGGAACTGAAGGAATCACACAGAAATTGGCTGATCAATTTGCAATTATGAATGGACGAGCACTGCTCCAACCACCCAGAAACGAAGGATTGGGTCATATCTTTCAGTCCTGCTGGTAAGCCACCTTGGCCTGCTGAATCAATGTCAAGGACACAGACTATAAGTATCACTTGCAGCCTGAGCCTAACGACAGCATGGGGGATTCAGTTTGTTCTTCTAATGTCCTCGTTCCAGTTTCTCCTCCGAAAGAGAGGCCAACAGGACCATGAAGGGACTGCTTCTGTAGTGTGTATGGCTGGAGTGTTCTGCCTGGTGCAAGATATGGACGCATGGCAGCCTGGGGTTGTGCTCCTCAAACCTTCCCACTTGCTCCTCTGGCTTTCTTTGTCCTATTTCCTTATATACAAGTAAAGAGGCCCCCTGACTTTCACATCTGACTTCCAACTAATTGCCTGTTACTCACTTCAGCTGTTCATTATCATTTTGTAATGCATCAATGGTCCTTAGTAATAGCCATCTGTTATGGACTGAATTGTGCCTCCCAACAAAACTCATATGTTGAAGCCCTGGCATCTCATGTGACCGCAGGAGATAGGATCTTTAAGGACATAAAGAGGTTAAGTGAAGTCATGATTTGGGCCTTAATCTAACAGGACTGCTATGATGATAAGGAAAGGGAGAAATACCAGCGCTTGCTCTCTCTCTCCATGTGCTCATAGAGGAAAGGCCATGTAAGGACATGGTGAAAAGGCAGCCATCTGCAAGGCAAGGTGGGAGGCCTTAAAGGAAACCAACCCTGCTAACAGCTTGATCTTGAACTTCCAGTCCCCAGAACTGTGATCAAATGATTTTCTGTCGTTTAATCCACCCAGCCTGTGGCATTCCATTGTGGTAGCCCTAGCAGGTTAACCCATTATTCAGTCCTCTTAACATTACAGCTACTATTTTTTCCAGATATCTTAAATGCCAGACACACCTCTGTATTTGATGTATTCTTTTCCACTGAAATAGTCTCCCAGTTTACCTTCAGCAAATATTGTAACAATTAGATTACCATCTTCTGTGAAACCTCTCTCTCTTCCACCTGCTACCAGGAATGGAATTCTCCTCCAGCCAGGTGAAGGGTCATCTAGTTCCAAAATCCCCTTCATTGACCGCTTTATCCTACCATATCTGTTTTGACAATTGTCAGATGGATTTTTTGGAGTCAGGTGTTGATATGGCTGTAGGATATTTATTAGGAATGAACATGTATCATAGGAAGGAGGAGTGGTAAAAGGAAGAAGTGAGTTGCAATGCAGTCAAAATGAACATCAGAAAACATGGTGGGGAGTTCTGGAGCTAGGATTTCTTGTCAGATGATCCTGGGTTGGGTCAAAACGGCCAGGTCTTTTTATTCCTACCTTGCTCAGTCTCTAGAGATGGGCTGCCCGGCAGGACATGACTGCAGCTGGAGTAGCTCTGGGCAGTTAGGCAGATCCCAAAGGACTGTCAGTTAGAGGCTATCTGCTGAATACATCTCTACAGCTAAGCAGCAAATCCTTCCTTGCTGGGGGACATGAGTTCCACACAATCACATTTATTTCTGTGAAAACCTACAACAAAAGTCATTCTTAATGGAATGTTCAAAAGAATTCTTTTTGTGATGAGGAGAACTGTAAGTTTCTCCTTCTGACCCCTTCTATTTGGCATAGTATTAAAGTGACTTGCTAGTGCAGTATGGCAAGGAAAAAATAAGAAAAAGAAATAAGGATGATAAAAGAAGAAACAAAATTATCATATTTACAGATAATTTTTATGTTGTTTTTAACAATTTTGCTGCAAACTGTTTCAACATGGCCCCAGCAATACCATCTCATATGCTGCTTTCCATATACCTGAGACTCCTCCCACTGAGAGAGATCATCTTGTTCCCTCTCCTTTAATCTGGGAGGGAATGAATGACTGCCCAGATCAATGGAATTCAGCAGAAGTAATGTTATGGCTCTCTCCCTTTTTGCTCTCTCTCTCTCAGAACACTCACTCTTGGAACCTGGCCACCATGTTGGAAGGAATCCCAGAGCACATGAGGAGGCCTTTTAGGGTGTTCCAGCCTTAGCTAAGGTCTTAGCTAATAGTTAGCATCAACTACTGGCAAATGAGCAAGGCTTCAGATGATTCCAGCCCTCAGCTTTCCAGCTGAAAACTTTGTAAAGCAAATACAGCCATTTCCACTTTGCCCTGCATGAATTCCTAAGCCACAGAAGCCATGAGAGATAATAAATGATTATTAGTGCTTTAAGCCACCACGTTTGGTAATAATTTTTGTATATCAATAGATTACTGCCAATGTCAAAAAAGTATAGATAAAGCTAGGATGATAATGTAGCACAGTTGCTGGATACAAAAATCAGTATTAAAATCAATTCTATTTCTATGTACTGACAACATACAGAAGTCAAATTTAAAATTTACATTATCCTAAGAACAAATATAACAAGGCCATATGAGTCCTTCAAAGAGATAATCCCAGAACTCAACTCAAATATACTGAAAAAGAACAAAAAAAGGAGATATAGAAGATAAGTATTATGCTCATGGATTCATAGAATTGATACTGTGTAGATGCCAATTATCTCAAAATTGATATACTACATTGTACCAACAAAATCACAATCACTTAGTAATATGATGAGCTGATTTTAGAATTTATAAAAGAATTTTGAAGTCTAAAACTAGCCATGGCCTTCTGGAAGAACAAGGTGAGTACTTGCTATCCTGATTATACATCTAAAGGGCTGTAACAGAGCTATCAGGGCAAGGACTGAAACATTAGCAAACAGAGCACAGCAGAAAGCCTAGACACTGGCCTGCATGGATACTGAAGCTTTAGATACAGCAGATATGGTACTGTAGCCACATGTGATGATGTGAAATGATGGATTTTTTTCCATAAAAGTCATAGAACAATTTGGTATCCATACTGAACAAAAAATGAAATTAAATCCTCCTACACAGAAACCAATTGCAGGTGGATGAAAAACCATATGTGAAAGGTTTAAAAATACAGATTTTAAAACAAGATAGAAAAATATTTATAAGCTCAGTATAGAAAAGTGTTTTTTTCCTTAAAAAATAGTCTAAAAGAGTCCCCCAGACCCAACGTAGATTGGTCAATGTGACTGCATTAAAATTAAGAATTGCATTCGT